TTTTTGTGTTGCACTTATATTCTTGTTATCATTTCTATGATTATATGAGCATTTTTTTATCGGTTAAATTGAAAGCCAAATCATTAAAAACCAAAACTAATTAATCAAAATTCGATAAGAAATATCTTATTGATTTAGTTATTAATCAATTTAACGTGTTTACAAACTATAAATTAATAAATTAAATTAATAATATTTAAAATCGAATCGAACCGACTAACGACATCCTAATTGGAAGTACAATTAATTTGCCACTATGATGGACTAAATTTTTTCCGCCTCTATAAGTAAAAAGTGTCAAAATGACATAACATAACCTTATATAAAGTGTCTAAAATAAATATCACATAATTAATATGTCTAAGTGAAATATGATGGCAATTTTAGGGCTCGCCGATGAGCTAGACCCTTTTTTATGAATAAATTATAAGAAAGAACGCAAGAACTCCATTTATTCCATATATCCCCTTTAATTTAGGTGAAAAGGTGACATGAGAATAATAGGATAAAGTGAACCAATCAAGTGGAATCTTCCTCGTGATTTCTAACCTTTGAAATAAATGGAATTATTATTTATTTTATAGGATAAAAGCTGAAATGTTTGTTAATCTGGGTGCACACAAAGTGCTTATATCCGAAGGATAAAGGCTATGACAGAAATTATAGTGTCGTGGGTTATTTTGAAATTTATCACTTAATTTCTAGTTTATTTTTATTATTAACTAAAGTCCTCTTTCAATGCATTGAAGTTATTATATTCAATAAGTGATATAATAAAATTGTCATTCTATTTTATTTATTTATTTAAAAAATGTGTCAAATTAATACTGAACAAGTAACAATAAAGAAAGAAAATAAATAAAAAGCTATCTTTTTAGGGGGATGGGGATGGAGGAGATAAAAAAAAAAAAATGTCACAGAAAATGTGAGAAATTGATGATTTTTTTTGAAACTTCCGTGCAATTATCCCAAGTCACACTAATTGATAATTCAAATTATTTAAAAGATGCATGAAAAATTATGATTAAAAATAAAGGATAATGTTAAATGGCCAAAAATTGGCCAGAAAATTAAAAAGTCTATAATATCCTTTTTATTTTAAAATAAACTGTTCTTTTTTCCATTTTTTAATTAAAATGTATGAAAGTTAAAAGGGTAAAAATGTTCAAAAAGGTAAAATAAAAAGTGTGAAATATGTTATTCTACCATTCTAGCCAAATTTTCTGGCCAAAAAGATTTTTTCAAAAATAAACTTATTTAAATTTCAAAATTTAAAAGGTGACTCATAGATTAAAACGGAGTGAGTATTATTTGTTTCCTATTTCATATTCATGTTGACAATATAAAACTAAATGAAACAAGTTAGAATGACTATATGTTGAATTGGACATATGAGGATCTCATTGTTTCATAAATGAGAAACGTGGTTAGCAAGACCTTTTATAATTGATTTAAATTTCTTTTGATAAACAGTGTGTATAACGAATGAATTATTTTCTGCATTTAAGTGATGAGACTTTTGGGAATTATATTTTGTCCTCAAGTGATCTCGAGTGATGTGCTATACATGAGCAGAAATTATCAGTTTTGTTCACTTTTACTTGTTTATTTTATAATTTGTATGCTTTTTATGAAATAATTATCAATATGTGTATTTAATCATAATATTTATACTCATTGATGTATAGTCTAGAATCTTGAAAAATGAATTAGAGAATACGTAAATACTACTAAGAATTAAATAGATTTTTTTAGTATATATTAAAAATGACAAATAAAAAAAATATATATTTTCAAAATAATGTACAAGTGAATAGAGGGAGTGTTTCATGACCTTGGGTGCAACTTCTAGGAAACAATTAAAAAATCAGTATATATTTCCTTTAAATTCTAATGCTCTGTTGATAAATGTCACCTACATCATTTTTTAGATTTTTGACAATTTCCTTATTACATTGATGAAAAAGTTTTTTTTGGACCCAAACTCATATTTTTTTGTACCAACTTATGTTTATAAGCATTTTAAATGACTTAATATAGGGGAATATGATAGACGAATTTCCTCCATTAATATAAAATAGTCAGTTAAATGTTTAAATTATACGAAAGTTTTATTATTTTTATTAATTATTTTTTTCGTATTATTTAATTTATATTTTTACATTATGCGAGGGTTTTAGTTAGAGCTGTCAATATGGGTTGACCTACCCATCCGGGCTAATCCATACAGATTTTGAAATTTAACGGGTCAGGCCGGGCTAGCCCATTTTTTGAGTGGGCAAGAAAATGGTTGGCCCAGCCCACAAGTACGTGGGCTACGGCTTTGCCGGGCCAACCCTTTTTTTCTTAAAAATATATATTTTATATATTTTTTAAATTAAATTATAATTTAAAAATATTATTATAAATATCGACAAGACAATATTACATGGTGTTAATGTTACTACTTGTTAATCAAATACACAAATAAAATTATTTTTATAATATTTATTAAGTTTGATTTCAAGTAAAAGCATAAATAGCTAAATATAAATATCAAAATAATTGTTTTCCAATGATTATAATAAAACACAAAAGCTTTGACAATATTCCATAGGCTATGGCCTATGTAGTGATTTCCTAGAAATTTTAGGGAATTTTTTTTATGTAGTACATATTTTATAAACATTGTTTGTATTTAAATTATAATATTTCAAACTTTAAACAGATTATGAGTTTAGACTCTTGTTATTTTTAATACTCTATTTTATTTTTATTTGGCCTACGGGCTGGCCCTATCCATATTTCTCAAACCCCACAAAAATCGACAGACTTATTCAGGCCGGGCTAAAAAGCCCTTTTCTTAAATGGGCTCCAAAAATCGTTGTCCATCTCTATTAAATCACGGGTTAGGCCAGATCGATCTAACGGGCCTAGCCCATATTGACGACTCTAGTTTGGGTGAGGTGCCGTCATTTCAATTTTCAAGAGAGAATTGAAAAAGAAAAAGAGTTTTTCCTTTGTTAAGAAAAATTTGTGTGATTAGTATTAGAGTCAAAATTTAAAGACTTTCATTTAAAAAAAAAAAAAGGAGTCCAAAAATAATAATTTAACACCATTTTGTTTTATCTTTTACAAGGTGTTTGTTTTTAAAGTTTTCTCATATTTAATTGATCAATATATTTTCTCCAACAAAGTGTTAAAAAAATAAGTTTTATAAATCACACTTCATGTTGATTTCTTTTTTTTCATCCCAACAATCTACATCCAGCCCATTCCACACTAGCCTTCCCTTGTCCTTGTTCCCCGGTCCCCATCCCCCTATACTCTTGGACACATCCTCCTCCGTTAATATTCATCGTATTTATTAAAATTATATTAAATATTTTTGAAATAATATTGTTTTAACATATTTATCAAATATCAAAAAAATAAGTAACAAGATTATACACTAACCTATCATCAACGTCATATCACTCTTCCCTTTGTCAAAGGCAACAACGTGGAACCATGTGTGAAGAGTGTTCCTTTCTTCCTATTCCTTTTCTTCACTTAAATAATACATTCTCCACCTCATTTCTATGTGTTTTCTATTTTTGCCAACATTTTTTGACATCATAAAATTTCATCTTACTAACAAATAAGCACTATAAGTTTTAATCATCCTTTTCTCTTGAAGAGACTCTTTGAAAATATTTTCTCCATTTCAATTTGTTTGTCCTATTGTTCTTTTTAATATGCTTCAAAAAGAATGTCTTTTCCCCTTTTGATAATTTTTTAATTTTAACTTTTCACATGATATGTTTAAGACTACAAGAATAAATAATATTTTGGTACATTTGATGTATCTTTAGTTTAAGGCCACAAGATTTAAAAGTCTTTTGTACTTTCTTAAACTCTGTATCAAATAAAAACTAGACTAAGAAATTAAAAAGGAGGGAATAATTTATAACTAGTGAATGGGATCTGCTTCGCACAATTATGAAAGAAACCAATAAATTTAGTAATATTCTTTTATAAAAATTGCTCCCGATTGGATATGAGGTTTAAGAAGGAAGGAAAATCTATTGAAATTTATATAATCTAAATAAGTCATAGATACTTATAGGACTATATAACTTATCTCATTAGAAATAAAATAAGAAGTTTAAATTAGTCAATTTGCAACCTTATGGTTTTGGATTTAGTCTCAATTCTTTCTGATAAGATCTAAGTAAAGTCCATTTAAAAGGACATTCTAGGTATGACATAAGGTATGACATAATAACATAGATCTTTTATAACATTCTACTAGTCATTTAGATCAATAAACACAACTCAATTAGCTGTTCAAAAAAATTTTGGCAGGTAGCAAATATAAAGGCCATAAAATTTTAGTAGTACTTCTAACAACAATTAATGATAAAATAAAATAAAATGGACATACTAATCAATCAAGGGACAAATAGAAAGACAAAATTGGAAGAAAAAAAAGTGAAAGTTAAATGTAATTGATGGTGGTGGCCAAAAAATTGGCCCACATTAGAAATTTTCTTGAATTATTCTTGAAATCTTTGTTCACATTACAAATTCTACTTTCCCACTTTCCACATATTTTCCTCCTTTATATCCCCCCTATCCTTTCTTACTGGTTTTGCAATTCATAAAGAAACCTCTTAGTAGTTACATAGCACCTTCACTTTCTCTCTTTAGTCCTTATTTCTTGAAAAAATTTAGTGATCAATTTGTCATCTTTATATATAGTTTTCAGTGATTTTAAATACTCATTTTTAAACTTGTTTTCTTGTTTTGAAACATCCCATTTAGTGCTTTGGCTCAACTCTTTCCAATTCACAAAAAAATTGATTCTCTTTTGCATTTTTGTCATTGAGGATTGAATATTCTTGCTCTTTTGTCATTCAAGATTGAATCTTTTATGCATTTTTGTCACTAAAGATTGAATCTTTTTGGTCTTTTGTCACTGAAGATTGAATGTTTTTGCTCTTTTGTCATTGAAGTTTAAATCTTTTTACATTTTGTCACTAAAGATTGAATCTTTTTGCTATTTTGTCACTAAAGATTGCTCCCCAAATGGAGAAAGTTAAAGCTTGGGATAAAGAAAGTCTAATTACTGAGCTTACTCAAGGGAAAGAGTTTGTAAACCAGTTTGATCCTCTGGCTTCACCAAAGGAATGTGATTTACTTCTTGAGAAAATACTTTCCTCTCTAGACAAATCATTGTCAATTTTGAATTGTGAAGTTCTTAATGGAACAAATGATCCTTTTCCTTTGAGGGATCAAGGCCAAAATAAGAAAAGGTGAATTAATTTTAGTCCTCAATTAAATCATTTTCTATGGTTTCTTGAAATTGAGGTATTGGAATTTTTTCTAATTTTTTTTTTGGTTGGATTTGTAGAAAGAAAATGCAGCAATGGAGCAAACAAGTTAAAGTATATGGGACAGAGCTTGAAAGTTTTAATCATGATGATGGTTATAGTTGGAGAAAATATGGGCAGAAAAACATTTTAGGAGCTATTAATCCAAGGTAAAAGAAACTCCTTTTCTTCTTTTTCTTTTTTTTCCTTTCTTTTTTTGGTTGTTAAACTATTTTCATATTATGACAACCACCCCTTTTCACTTTTGTTTGCTAGTTGATAGTTTTGAAGTTAAAGAATATTCAATGCAAAAATGTCATTAAATTCACAACAATTCAACTTTTGGGCTTGAAGGGTGTCCAAAAATATAGACAACCCACTAAAGTAGTTACACTTCTATTTCCATTTAGACAAACCTATTACTCTATTAGATACTTGAAGTATGTTTGCTTATTGAACAAGAACAAATTTGTTTCTTGAATAAAATTAAGATTTGTTCTAAGTATTTACTTGGGAGAAGGGCAGTCTGACGTAACTGATAAAGTTATTGCCATGTGATTAGGAACTATGTAAATAGCGGAAACTTAGTGCATTGAATCATCTGGATTTGTATCTAAGATGAAAGTTACATTTGAAATTGCAGGGCTTATTATAGGTGCACTCACAGGAATACAAAAGGCTGTTTTGCAACAAAACAAGTTCAAAAATCAAAAGAAGACCCTTTAGTCTTTGAAGTGACATATAAAGGAATGCATAGTTGCAAAACCTCACAATCATCAATATTCCTTTCATATGAAAACCAAAAGCCAAATCAGTGTCAAATAAAGAAACAAAGAGTTGAAAAGTTGAATACTATCAAAGAAGAAAATGTTCCTTTCACTCCACCAAAATGTGAAAGTCAAAATGCCCAATTTTTTGCCAATTCAATAGAGCCATTTACATCAGAATCCATGTACTTGTCATTGTTGCCAAATCAAGAAGAGGAGTTTGAGATGGACAAGATTTTTCAGAGCTCAGAATCGGATCGTATTGTGTTTAGCTCAACGCCAACTTCAATAATTGAATCGCCTTTTTGCAGAGACTGGGATTCATCAGTGGATGATCAACTTGATGTTCATGATCCTAACTTGATGATCGACATTTCTGAATATTTCAACTAATTTAAGAGTAGTAACAACGTCAGGAATTCATAAGATGCCAAAGAGTCACATCTAGGATTTGAACCTCTGACCTAGAATTGGGTCATATCGAGTGTTTTTTTGATCGACACTAACTTGAGAGCCAACTCTTTGGAAAAGTCTACTTTTTGTACTATTTTGTTTTTTCTCCTGTGCCAATTATAAAAGAACTTTTTTTTGGAGTAATTTCCCTAGATAGTCATTTATGTTTGAAAAATTACCTAATAATATCACTTATGTTTGTTTTAGGACTACAATATTATCCAACTTTACATATTTTTCTCAAAATATACTTGGCACGAAAAAAAATATCATCTCTCTCCTAATGGGATGCCATATCACATTATTCTTTTTTTATTATTAACAATTTTTTAAATTTTATTTAGACAACCCATATATTATACCCAGTAAAAAAAAATTACAACGCCAAAATTTTGAACCTTCTGGGGGATTCAGAGGCAAATCCAATTTTTTAAAAATATATAGCTAAAATTATCTGGATTAAGATAATTAATTATTTTTGTATTAACCTAATTGAGACTTTGTAAGTATCCGGCTATAAATGCTACGTGTATAAAAACAAACTACCTAATACAAATTATATATATTTTATTTTTGTCTTCACCTATATGGAAATTCTTTTACTAATATCTGTTACAATTATCCATGTTTACGTCCAGATCAGATTAATTAAAATAAACTTTATGCCACAAAAACATAAAACACACATAGACACACTTTATTCTCAATCACATATCCGAATCATAATTTTATTTTATTTTTCAAAATATTAAACTTAAAAATTTAATAATTTATATATATTTAATGAATTTTAATTATAAAATTAAAATTTGAATTAAAATTATTAAGTTTGATCGAATTCATAATCAAAGTCTTAGCTCCGTCCATGCTCCCACATAGAGCTACAATGATTTTCTCCTCCCCTCTATAAAACTTTTCCTTTTAATTTTCAATGATATATATATATATTTATTTATTTTCTCTTTTAATTTTGATAAAGAAATTTAAATCTCGAAAGTCAGATGAATTATTTTTTAACTGAAGTTTTTATATATGTCTACTGAAAATTCTAAATTATTAATTCACGACACTAATAGACAATTATTCATATTTGGATTTGCCTCCGAATCCCCCAAAACTAGGGTAGAAAATTTTGGCGCTATGTAATTTTTTTTTTTACTGAGTATCATATATGGGTTGTCTAAATAAATTTTAAAAAATTGTTAATAATAAAAAAAGAATAATGTGACATGGCATCCCATTAGGAAAGATGATGTTTTTTTTGTGTCAAGTATATTTTGAGGAAAATATATAAAGTTGGGTGATATTATAGTCCTAAAACAAACATAAGTGATATTACTAGGTAATTTCCCAAACATGGGTGACTATCTAGGGATATTACTCCTTTTTTTGGCAATGTACTTTACCATAAATTTTGACACCACTTGTAACAAACGATAAAAAATAAAATAATGTCAAGTGGCTCTAAGATTTGTCTAAAATATATAAGGTCATGTAACAAATTAAAATTTTGATTCAGAAACTAGTTAATTAAGTTGCCTTGGGAAGCCTAATAATAGATTGATATCCTTTTTTTCTTTAATTTGAGTCAATTCAAGTTGATCCAAGTTTTTTTTTATTGATTGATTGTTATAGTATTTGCCGATTTTTTTTCTTTTTTCTTTTAATTTTTTTCTGATTGATTAATATATTTACTGGCCGAAATTTCTTTTCCTTTTGACATTTAGCGCCATTATATTGAAAAATGGCAACCGTATTACCTACAAGTGTAGCAACAATTAATTTTTTTTCGAAAAAGACATCATAGTCCAAGTTTATTAGCTATATAATAAATTCAAAGGTCTGGCCACAAATTTTAAAACACAAAAACACAACATAAATCAAATTGTTCATTGTGGCTATAAAATGCCATTCTTCCTAGCAGAAGTAACACAATCATCAAGTAGCTCCTTCATTCCATATTTGTACACAAAACCTTTTTCAACCAACTTTTTTGATCCCCACTTGATTTCTCTCTTGGGGTCATTCAAGTACCTGAGATTGACAAGTTTTATGAAAGGAAACTAAAAATCACATTTGACAAAAATATCACCATATTCATGACAGGAAATTTTACTCCATGTGACCAATTGATCAAATTTCTATATTGGGGGGGTGGGGTGGGGGTGGTCAAGGGGTGCGTGTTGAGATACCAGCTTAAATTTTTGAATGAGATGGTCACACACATCAACATGGTATCAAAGTAAGCAAAGGTCCTGAGATCGAATCTCACCGCCACCTATATTAAAAAGAATTCTCACGTGATTGGCTCATGAAAAAGAATCAGGTCCGCACATGAAAAGGCCTTAAAAACGAAGAAAATGACTTCCTTAATAGATATATTCTATGTATATTTTATCCTCCTTACCCACCCCATTCCCCCGACCCTACCCCTTGACCATCCCAAAACCTTTGATTAAGTGTGAAAGGAAACTCAACCATCCCACCACAATCCAAGTCAGTTATCAAGGAAGTAATGTAATGTAGAATGCAAGATTGATAATAATATCTTACTCTTGGTTGACCTTAAATTCGGGATAATTGTGTTGATAGTAATTGCCAATCTCTGCAGTAGAAACAAATGAGCTAGCACACAAGAAACGCCCATTGAGAGAACCAACATTATTCATGAAGAACATATGAGCTTCAGACACATCTTCAATATGCACTATTGGAACTTTTCCATTAAGTTCCTCTAAAAACTTGATTATATTACACAATTTCTCCTCTTGAGTGAACACTGACAAGAACATAGCAGAAGTTGATGGGATATAAGGCAAAAAAGTGTGTCCACCCACAAGGCCACAACATAATGTAACCACATCCAAACCTTCCTTCTCAAACTTCAACACCTCTTTCTCAGCTAACATCTTTGACTCTACATAATCCTATAATAATATATAAGAGAATTTAAGTTATATATGCCGACTATGTAAAAGTTATTTACATAACTATATTCATAATAAATAAAAAAATTGCACACTTCTGTTTATAACAACTAAATGAGATATAAATGTTATATATTTATATATATAACAACACCTCATTATAACTCAATAATACATAAATATGTCCTTTAACTTGGCCTCATTTCACATTTATACTCTCCAACTTTGGGTGTGCACAAGTTGACACTTAAACTTGTATAAAGTTGAACAAGTAGACACACGAGTCCTACTTGGCATAATACACATAAGACACCACATATGATGAAAATTTCCATGTATGATATCACATAGGACGTGTGTGTCTATTTGTTTAACTTTATACAAGTTTAAGTGTCTACCCGTGCACACTCAAAGTTGGAGAACATAATGTTAGGGTTTTGCGCTGATTTTCTTGCCATATTTGAGTTTTACTTTTTCCTTAAAGAAAAGTCAAAACATTAACATAAATGTTTTTACTTTTTCTGAAAGAAAAATATAATTCTCTTCCATATTTGATTTATTCTTTCCTTATATGAAAGATTTGGAACTCAATAAATTGAAGATTCCTCTTCTCATAGCATAATACAATAGATTCCACAATATAGTCGTTTAAAGACTTTTGTTTATGGGGAGATTTTATATCTACAGTTTCTATGTTTTTAATTATGTAGGCCAATTGGTCATATCATATAATAATATTATGTCGTTTAGTATAGTTTTATGTGTCGTCTAATTTATCGTCTTATGATTTACAATTGTAAGCTTCTGCATGATGTCCCAATCACTTTCGAACCCAACACATAAATATGAGATGTGACCAAGTTAAAGAACATATTTATGTATTATGCCCATTATAACAACCTAGAAACTTTTCGACAAACTTTGTCACTATAGAGAGGTTTGGTTGTATTTATAAATCAAAATAGTAAAATAGTGCTAACGCAAATCAAATTTCATTTCATGTAAATTGAAGTCGAACAGACTACTATTATCCACTTATAATACCACATTTTGCCAAAATCAAAATCATATCAAATTAATATAGGATGATAGTAATATAATGCAGCATATAGAAAGGTAAATAAATACATTAATTAAGCTCACCCAAAGCCACTGTTGGTTGTAAGGATTTGAGAAATTAAGAGGTGTCCAACATGTTTCATCCATTAATTGTTTGAAAGTAATTCCATCTTCCTTCAATGGGGAGGCAGCTACAATAGAGGCAGTATAAATAACTCTTAACTGTCCCACTTCTAAGGCAAATCCTTCCAATTTTCTTCACTCCATCAACTGTTGCCTCTGTTCTATCTCTGTACTGTTTCATATATTAAGGTCAAGATTACAAATAAAAGAAACAAGATTTATTTAAAAATAAAATTTATATATATGAAACTAACTAAAAAGTGTTGACCATAACAAATATGAGTATATAATAACATATTATTATAAATCAATTTCATTTGATGATAAAAATAAATAAATATCAATGCACATAATTCAAACTCAATTATAATTTGGGACGAGAGGCAGTGATGGATCCAAAATTTTCACCGAATTCAAATAATATCTACGATTTGAACTTGGAACTTCAAGATAAATTCTGAAGCCCTATATAAAATTGTTATCGAGTGAACAACCTCGCCCCTCCTAGATCCGATCCTGAAAAGAGGGATTGATGAGTATCATCAGTGGAATTCCATACCTGAGATCCTTGAGAATGCAATAAAGGAGTAGCAACATGGAAAACAAATTCACAGCCTTGAATAGCTTCCGCAAATTCCTCAGCTCTATAAATGTCAGCTTCAAATAACTTTAATCTTTCATCTGCACCACTTAAGCTCTTCAATAGTCCCACCTTTGACTCATCCTCTACATTTAAATCAACTTAACTAATCATTTTAAAAAACATCCACACACACACTATGGAAACATACATGGAAAACAGATTTTCATTGAAATACTGGAAAAAAAAATTCTGTGTAAAA